CTATACTCTTTTGCTTCTCAGGAATTCACTTTCTTTATCCCATAAATAATGACGTTCTTCTTACGCCGGTCACATTCTTCAATATCTCTAATTATTTCAAGATGAGACCAGCTGATGGTGAATTTTGTATGGTATCAATATTCTCCATGATTTTTGAAATTTTCTTGTGTATGCCATTCTGTGAGGTCTTGATTTTGTCACATTTTGCCTCTAATTGTTTGTGTTCATTCTTGCATGCTTGCACTTCTGCCGTAAGATTTTGTATTGTATCTGAAATCCTTCCAATATCATTTTTATACCACCGAAACCTTCTCTTTGTTCTTTAGTTAACTTTCTTGCCAAAGAAATTATCTTATCACTCAGATCTAATGGTTTTTTCTAGCTCTGATTTGAAAATTCGAAGAAATTCGTTTGCCTCCATATTTACCTCAGTTGAGGAACATTGTACTCTTTCAATAGAGCGTGGGTGATATGATGATGTACAGTTCCCACAAAGTACAGTGTGTTTCAAATCATAGATTATCATTTTCTAGTTTCAATTAAACTATCGTTAGCACTATCATATACACAGAGATGCCAAAAGTCACAGGATAGCAATATGCAAATAAATACAGATGGTGGAAGCATCGCGTACAAAAGGCATAAAAGGACAGTGCTTTGGCAGAGCTTCCATTTGTACTCAAGTGATTCATGTGAAAAGAATGGCGTGATTAAGGCCGCACAATGGGAATTAAGACTTGGAACGCAGAATGGTAATTAGAGCTAGACACATAAGACGTTTCGTTTCGGAAATTGTTATGGAATTCAATAATTACAGGATCCACAGTGTCAAGAGTGTGCCGAGAATGCCTAATTCCTCCTACCCTGTGACAATGATGTAGCGGTAAACGTGTCAGACTTTTATACCCAAGTTTACTGGTTCAAATCCGTTCGATGCTGTGGATTTGTAAGGGTGAAAAAAATCATTGATATGCCTTCAGAGGGGAAGTAAAACTTTGCTCTTCTATGTTAGAAGATTTACTGCATGTGAAATATCCCCAAGCCTAAATGAAGCCTCTGAGCTAAATTCAAATCTCCTGTTTTGTCACCCTAGAAATACCTTCTTTCTCTGCTAGTTTCTGAAAGGAGCATAACAAAATGTGTGGTCAGACAGAAGAGCAGCCTTAATGGCCTGAGTCTCGCCACATAAAATAAGGCCTCAATTCAATCCAATTCAATGCAAAGCAACGCAATGCAATTCAATTGAATAATTCCAAGCATATCCTCTCACCGCAGAGAAAGTAGTGGCTGACGGTCTTCACTTAATGATTGACAGCAGCAGCGTTTGTGTAGAGCAACAGGCAAGCAACGCTGCATGAAATAACTGCAGAAATCAATTTGTGACACACAATGAAAGTATTCGTTATGACTGCTGCGAAATTTGGCTTTAATGGGCTATGGCAGCAGAAGAGCAATGGGAGTGCCTTTGCAAACAGCATGACATGGCCTGCAGTTTGTCCCCTGTGCTCTTGACAATATCGATTGAGCCCTAGCCTACTGAAAAACCACGGCTTGATCAGATGACTCCCGATTTCAGTTGTAAGTGCTAATGGTAGAGTTTGAATGTGGCACGGACCTCACGAAACCAGGGACTCAAGTTGTCAACTTGGCACTGTTCAAGCTGATGGTGGCACCATAATGATATGAGCTGCTTTTACATGGAATGGACTGGGTAGTCTGGTCGAACTGAACTGATTATTGACGGGAAATGATTATGTTCAGCTACTTGGAGACAATTTGCAGCCGTGATTTATTGACCTTATGTTCCTGAACAAAAATGAAGATTTTATGGATGCCAATGCACCATGTTACCGAGCTACAATTGTTTGCGATTGGTTTGAAGAACATTCTGGACAATTTGTGCAAATGATTTGGCCGCCCTTATCACTCGAAATCAATGCTATCAAACATTTATTGGGCATAATTGAGAGGTCAGTTTGTGCACAAATGTATTAGCCAGTAGCGAAATGAAATGAGTGCGGGCCCACTCGCAAAACTTCTATATGGTCCCCTTTTTTTCTGTTACGTATTTTACAACTACAGCTTCTTCAAATGTCACTCAGAATAACTAATAGCAAACCTGATGAAAGTGTATAGCAAACACAATTAGTGTTATAAACTAAATATTAAAAAAAAGTATCTCCTAAAAATAGGCCCTATTTTACCAGAGCCCGCTCGCATTGCGAGCCTTGCATTTCTGAATGTTACACACTTGTATTGGAAGTGTTTGCTGTGAACTGTATCTTCCCGTAATGCAAAATGAAGATGGTGCATTAAACTATATATATCATTCTCTATATTTGATGTTTTATTTATTTAATAATATATTTATAAAATAATATATAGATCAGTGGTTGCTGGGTAGCCCTAGTCAAACAATGCGAATATATATATATATATA